AAAGGTGACGGGAACTCAAACCCAACTGCGATACCGCAGGACCTTCAACTCCTTACAGCGTATGTGACGAGGACATTGTTTAGGGTACGTACAACGTCAAACAGGAGGCATAGCAGTCAGAGTTTGGAGGACATTCCATCGACCAGAGGAGGACCAAGACCCACCCAAAAAAGACAAACCTTCAGAGCCACTGAAATGGGCCGACACATGCAAGTCAGGACAAAGTCCATTTCAGGTCATCGTGGTGAAACTCATAGAACTGAACCGTGTAAAGGGTGTAGTGTAAGTAGTTGTTGTAAAAGTAGCGACAGGAACTGGGGGACCCTACATGGTAGTGATAGTTGGTATAAGTAACATACTGAGACCACAAACACAAAGGAAAAGAAAATGGGGGAAACAACACTTAAAAATTGGTTTAGACACGAAAACACCTGTGGAAGAGACACAGACCTATATATGTGGTCCATTCGACCGATAAAATAGTATCGGATACCTTTTGTGGAACGAGTGTTGGATCCCAGCTCGAAAGGGAAGAGAACAAAACATCGTTTTGTGTGACTGGGTTTAAGACTTTCAAACCTATATAAACCAAGAAACGGACACTTGTCGCAGCATACCGCATAAAGGAAACACGCGGATGACATTGTGTGACAAGGAATGTATTCGACGGACAGACATACCGCATCAAGGTATCAAATTAAGCCATTGCGAACGAAAGATAGTCTTTCGCTAGTCCGGGTTAAGTATCTCTCAAAGCGGTTGCGAGAGAAGACGACATGGGCTGTAAAAACCACCCCGCTTATCCCACGTCTGCAGAGCCAGATTAGGTAAAACCAATTGTCACGGACCTTCAGAGCCGAACAATTTGAGTCACGGCAATAGACTTTGCCTATCTGAATTGAAGAGTGCATTCCACGATACAGACGATTCTTTGGAAAGACACCGGACGTGACATAGTGAGAACTGGAATCTTTTATATGTTTTATCATGCGTCTTCATCAAGCAGACATTTTCTGACACATATAGACACCGGAAGCATACGAACCACAAACTGTCCCTTGGCGATTCAGACAACCACTTGAATCAAGATTCGTGGATCGCGAAAACAGACCGAGGCGATAAAGAGCAAACCCACTTGAACGGGACACATGTTGTGAAGTGTGTTGACTCGACCCAAACTGACGTGAAAGAGAATAGAGGGTACGGAAAGTGAATGTGGGAACATTTTAAAACCATTGGTAGCAAGCATTACGCTTACTGGGTTTTTAAGTACGGTTCAAGCGTACAGCACTGTCGGGAAATTGTAACCAGTTGTAAAGGGCAGCGCGGCCGAGTAAAGTTGTCAATCATTCATTATGTTTAAATGTGAAAGTACCTCGTTTGGACGCGCAGAAACCATGGTACACTTGTCAGGGGAAAGAACTTCCACTATACAGCGGGGAGGCAAACACGAGAACGTTGCTATTCTACAGTACCACCATACTCCCGTACATGTCCGTAGGGCATCGACACGAGACACAACAGCAGGCCCTAGCATCAGATTACTCCTGGTACTAGTGGCGGGCAAGGAGAAGAGTACACGACAAGGTAACGTGGAACCAGGGCAGGATTGAGGTGACTTACTCTGAGCCGACCTTACTTAGCAGGCTTCGAAAAATTTGAAGGCCAGCAAGTGCTCACCCTACAGCGAGGGACGCAGTGTGGTACTACGGAAAGTAGAAGTGCAACAGACCACCAAAGGGCAGAACACATGGGGACCGGAACTCTCTACCAGAACCAGCCGGTAAGACAATAGACGCTGAAAAGACCGGTGGTAGAAGGAGGGGTAGGGAAAAAGAATGTCTCACTTAAGTAGCACACATAAGTAAAAAACGTCATTGGCGTGGTGGAAAAGCTTTGTAAAAGAACTATACCAGGAAATAAGGTGTTAACATCGTGCAGTAACCGTAGAAGTAGAGAAAGACAACGAATCGCACGCAGCAACCACGGAGCCGGAAACGGAACGTGTACAAAAGAGTGTAATAGACACCTAAGACGACCAACGAGGAGATGAGATCACTGGAGGAGAACGAGACCTTCAACCTCACCCAATTGCCACCAGGCAAACGGGTAGTGGGGGGTAGATGGGTCTACGCACTCAAGAGTGACATTGATGGGTCAGACAAGTACAAGGCGCGATTTGTAGCTAAAGGCTACAGTCAGAAACCAGGAATCGACTATGATGAGACATTCTCACCCACAGCTGATGTGATGACAAAACCAGCCACCAAAATAAAGCTAAAGAGGTTTGCTCAGGATATGTTTGGCACCTAGAAGGGCAAAGAGTTAACATAGTTAAGGTAAAAGAAAAAGAAGCCTTATTTTGTTTTGTTCTCAGGTAACCCAGTAAGCTAAGAGCGAGTGGGGGTGTTAAGTATTATTATTTGATGACGCCCTTAGTCTGTGTACTACGGTAGCAGTCGCACTGTTATTCTGTTCTTGTATGAAGGTACGTCCTAATGTGACGTCACTACGTTGACTAGGTACGTCCTAATGTGACGTCACTACGTTGACTGTTGTCAGTCTGTGAATAAACTTACCGGAGACATGCTGAAGAGAATACCGAGTCTGATTTACTTATTGTTCATACGCGATTCATGTGCACCCAAGCTTAACAATGTTACTGGTACATTTAAAAAACTGTGTGCATTAAACTAAAACGGAGCATTTTCTGTCGGCTCAGATTTTATTTTTGCTTTTTAAACTGTAGTATGTGCTAATGTGTTTCATTATTGGTGTATAAACTACTGCCTGAATATGCTGAATGAAAGGCAGGTTTTCCTATCAATAAAATATATATTTTTTCTAAATATTTTGGTTTCTTCTTTTCTAAGGTTACATTGTTTTGTTGCCTTACATAAAACAATTAACTAAAAAACTACTAATTGTTATTTATTTTCTCTAGAATTTATTGACATTACATTTGATATAGAGGTAATCCTGAAGTAACGCAAAGGAATCAGGTTACTCTTATATTTTGATACTCAGATTAGGTAACTGATTACCTTTTGTTACAGCCAACTAGTAATTGAATAAATACAGTAACCTTCCCAAACCACCTAAAGCCATTCTAATATCTC